CTGCCTTGGAGCCAGTGATTAGGGACTGAAACCTTCACAAACTGTGAGCTAAATAAACTTTTCCTTCCTTCATTTTTGGTGTTGGATATTTTGTCTCAGCAACTGCAGAAAAATAACTAAGAATTTGGTATCAAGGGTGGGGTCTTGCTGTGACTATAACTGACCATGTGGTTCAAGAGCCTTTGGGAATGGCTTGTGGGAAGAGTTTAAAAAGGTTCAGAGATGTTGCTTGAAAGAGTAGAGCTGCAATGCCTTAGGCTGTTCTATGTGGGAGATTCTGGTCAGAGCTCAGACGGCTGATAAAAATCCTGCCAGTAAAGACCAGGTTCAGGAGGTTTCTGCTGAGAAGAAGGACTGCATTGGTTGTTGGACTCCAGATGATGTATGTTATGGCTTGGCTGAAAGTTTGTCTGCATTTTGCTGTGTCCAGAGACTTTGCCTGAGACTGAGACTAAAGGCTGTGGACTAATTAATCTGGCAGAAGAAATTTCAAGGCAGTCAAATGTTGGGGCAGTGGCATGGCTACTGTTGGGGGCTTTTAGCCAGATCTGTGTTGAGAATCAAGAGCAAAGAGCCCAGAAGGATGATTTAAAATGTTGTGAGTTTGGCCAGATAAAAAACTATAGTAAAGCTATGAACTACAAAGATAAAGCTGAGGAGATCTCAGTTGCTGAGAGGAAACAGGAGAATAGAAAAGATGGCCTGAAGGCATCACAAGAAGCAGCAAGTCTCCACTCTTTGCAGCCTCAAAACTGCAAAAGCGAAAGACTTTGCTTTGAGGAGAAGGCTGCAGAGTGCCATGTTCCAGAATGGCGGCAGTGTAGAAAATTTGTTTCTTGAAATTAGATTTATGTGCCCAGTGATCCAGGTACTTGACCGCTACATCCCAGAGAGAGGAAAGCCTGGTTACTGCTCCAGCTGGCAGCAGGCCTTGGCATCATCCACATGGCATTGGTTTTAGGTACATTCAAAATGCAAGAGTTATGGGGTTAAAACGGCTTCCACCTCTATTTCAGAAGGCCTGGGGAGGCCAGGCAGTATGCCCTTGAGAGGGCAATGTGTGAAGCTGGGAGTGAAAAGCCAGCATTTCAGTGGAGACCCCAAAAGTTTGGAGAAGTCAGAAACATGGATTGTCTAAAGAAAGCTGCAAGAAGGGAGCAAAGCAGGCCTAAGAAAAACTATGGGAGCTACAAGCACCGGAAGTGCAATAGGGGTGGAGTCATACAAGCCCTTGGGAGCTCACAATTTGCCACAGATTGCTTCAAATGCTGGATATGGAACTACAGGACTTAATGTTTACCCTGCTGGATTTTGGACTTGCTTTGGTCCCATTCCTTTGTATTCCTGTTTGTAACTTTTGGAATGAAAATGTTTACTTTGTGCCACTGAATGTTGGAAGTGCTTAACTTTTCATTTGTATAGGGGGTCACAGCTAAGAGTTTGCCTTACCTCTTGGAGGAGACTTGGGACTTGGGCTTTTCAGCAATGCTGAAACTGTTAGAACTTTGACAACTCTTGCAGATGGACTAAGTGCCCTTTGCATAAAGGAATGTACATGAGTCTTTGGGGAGTGAAATGTT